GATAAAACAGACTAGAATGTTTTAAAAAAGGATCAAATGCAATATTGTTCAGAAATATCTTAATAATATTACTTGGATCACAATTAATGTTATATATCATTAACTGAACATACATTTTTAGCCACTAAAAATTATGTCCTAGAGTATTTAACATGTGAACATATTCACAGTATTTTATGCTACTAGACTATCCACTGTGCCATTCCATTCCAACAAGTACATGTATACACATTCAAATACTTGACTACAGCATTTATCACAGTGCTTAGCACAAAGCAAAAATCCAAAAATGAGTATGACTCATCATCAACATCAAAAGAAAAATTACGATTATGTAACAAAATGATAGCGCTTGTTATCTAGGAGCAGATAAACTAGCACTACTACTACTGCGTGGGGTGAAGTATTTCTTAAATTGGCCTTTTTTTTTAAAAAAAAAAAATAATACAGTTCCAGTTTCACTGAAGGGTGGAAAAGAAAAACAGGATTTCCAACCCCTCCCCTTGGCAATTCATTTGCTTTTAGGCACTTCTCAAGTCACCATAAAACTTTGAAACCTGTACCCATTACCCTTTCCTGATCAATTTCAACTTTATCACTGTTGAGTTCCTCAGGGAAGCACCCTAAAGGAGTTGGGGGAGGGGCAGACAAAGAATTTGAAAAAAAAAAAAAAACAAGAAATATAAACTGCTAAGTTTTGAGCTTCCTGTTGCAAAAAAAGATAAACACAAGTCTTTTTGTTGGTGATATGGTTCCTCAGATACACAGCATAGGTCAGACCAAACATATCCAACTCCACGACCACTTAGGCCTGAATTAAGATGGCAGAAACAAAACATGAAAAAAGTACAAGTCTTGGAAAAATTACTTTTCCCGTAATTTTAACCTATTTGTCTCATGCAAGTAATGATTTCAAATGTATAAATTCAAAAAAGTATAAAACAAGTTAGCATAATTCCTTTAATTCAACCATATTCGTTAAATATCACCAAACACTGCTGGTCACACACATCAGGATAAGAGTTATGTAACACGAACATGAAAACAAGTGAGTACAGTACTACAGGAGTTTAAAAACTAACATAAATATGTGCCACAAGTACAGAGACAATACAGGAAGGAATAATGGGGGGAGAATTTAGGATGTAAACATGGGGGGTATCCCCCAAAATCTGTAGCACATGCTAGCACACAGAGTTTTTAAAAACAGAAGATAAAATTTTAAGTCAGAAAGCAGAAGGGGGGCTGAGCGTGATGGCTCATGACTGTACTCCCAGCACTTCAGAGGCTGAGACAGGAGGATCCTTGTGAGTAGGAGGCCAGCCTGAACTGCACAGTGAAACCCTGTCTCAAAAGACACACACACGCAGGCACGCATGCAAAAGGCAATGAAGCTGAATCAGGTGTACAGGGATTTAGCTCACATCTATATTACCTAGATCAGCTGACTCCTATGCAAATGTTTGTCTTACGCACATTCTACATCTATGTAAACATTACTTTCCATAGTTTTGATTTCTAGAATACTTTTAAATTATGCATGTGCATAATTTATACGGATATACACATATGTAAGAAGTATGAAGTGAATATGTATCCATATACATTCTCACAACAACATACCACAAGGTGGAGTTTTAACAAAGCATTAATGACACAACCACAAAAATGTGTTCTGTACTTTAAAAAAAAAGATTCTAGCGCAGATTACACAATAGCAAATTTATCATATGACCTAATTTTAGTTAACTTAGTTCTACAGCCTAATATAATCCCAATATGGTATTAGAAAGCCTACTACTGGCAGGGCAAATAAATGCTTCTGGGTATTGTGAGCCCAAGCAAAATACTCAGTATTTCAGGTATTTTACTCTTCCAAGTGCTTTGGCCAAATTGGCAAAGGACATGTGCTGTTTATATTAACTCAATAGCAAAGAACAAAGAGCTGTACAGTTTACACAATATGCCTTTAAATATTTAAAAATACTCAAAAGGTTTAGTCAAACATGTATAATACTTGATGTTCTGCTAGAAAATTATTGTTTCTAATAACTTTCATCAGACATAAATTTCTCTTAGAAACATTTGACTAGTATACGAAACACTTTCTGTAAAACAAAAGACTACCACAAAAAAGTGTAGCTAGCTAGTTCTGTGATGCAAAGCATTTTGCTCCAGCATATACTTACTGCCTTATGAATTTGAAACAGTGAAATATTTTATACTATTCTAATTCCTTTCTTCATTTGATTAACAAAACAAATCCTTTAATTCTTGATTAAATCGACATAGTCAATCTACAATGGTTACCTATTTTTCTACATAGAACTCTAAACTCAGAAAAACAGATTTCAGAATGAGGCCTCCAAATGTCTTACTGGATTTTACAACAATTACTATCCACAAAAATGAAAATTCTCCTAAGCAATGGGGACTTTCATTTCTTTTAATTTAAACTGAAAAGTCAGGTGAAAAAGAATGAAGAGTCTGTACTATAAATCTCTATGAATTGTAGCTTTAAAAAAGGTATCAAAAATGTGTTAAGATCCAAGTAAAATCTGTATTGCAGAACACTTAAAACTACGCTAAACCTATAAGCGCTTCTGCCACAAAATCTGTTCATTGTATATAGGATTATAAATAATAAATTCACATTTAAAAACATTACCTTAGAAACTAATGAAGACACATAAATTATTAGACTGAAAGGTACCTTAAGAAATGCACTCTTCCTGGTTTAGCTAATGCACCAACAAACACCTCTGGCTCTTAACAAAACTGATTAACACATTGTTTTCCAATATAACACTTTTTAAAAATAAACACCCAGATTATGCCCATAAAAGATTAACACGTCATACCGAAAATATTATCTGTTAAAATATATTACTCAAAAAAATACATTACTCATTTCCTACTCACACTACTATACAGCTACTTGTGAAGATCAAATTAAGTCTGAAATGATTTCCAAAGTAGTCCCATACTAAGTACATTCAATATTTAAAACAAACAAAAAAGGCAATCCTGGTGAAGCTCTGTGCTTCAAAAAATCAACATCTTGAGAATTAAACCCCTGGAAATATGTTCTCATTTAGTTGAACACGAATATAAGCCGCTGATATTTCTACACAAAAAATATTTGTACTGTTAACTTATCCGTGGCAAATGTAAAAAAAAGGAGGGGACGAGGCTTAGAAACAATCTATTTCATCCACCTGCTAATTCACATTACAAATTTTTTCTATCAATCGTCCCAAGGTGATAAGCAGTACTTTAAAAAATTAAGTAGTCCTTACCCATCTCTAAAATAGAACTTAACATTCTGATCCTGGCTACTTGACTGAAAGATACCAATAAAGGTACCGTCACTGTGTTCAGTTTTTTAGCAAGTTTTCACCTAACCAAGCACTATCTGAGACAGACTTCTTGATCTCCCTCAATGTAGGTCTAATCGGCGGAAGGCAGTGAGACAGTGTACTGCACTGTGAATGGACAGCCAGGTATTTTATGAATGGAGGCGATCACGTGATCCCAGCACCTCCCCGAACTGATATTTCCCACATAACTGTGTCAACATTCTGAGAACTAGGGTAGTTGTTTGTGTGTGCGTGTCTTAAAATTTAACCTAAAACTCCAAATCCTCTTTACTTTTTGAATTCAAAAATCTACACAGAAATAAAGAAAAAAGCTTTGAATTTTTTCTTGAGAAATCCTTTTAAGATGTCCAAGGTGATGGATGTTTAATTATTTTTTTTATGAATGAAGAGTGTGCTATGCAAATGAGGGCGATTCACAAAAAGAGAGAGAACATGGCGGCCACTTCTGCTTCTAGACCGCACTGACACTGCAGCAACCTACCTCCTTCTACACCCGCTCATCAGAAATGTGCGATTTTCGAGAAGGAATAATGGTTGGCATTTTTCTAGCTACTTTACGTTACACTGGCCTCAACTCTGGACTTTAAAAGATTTTCTAAAAAGATCTGACTCGAAGAATGCACTTTGTTTAAAGGAATGCATCCTAACAACTCGTCCTCTTTCCAACTCTTCAAACATAAACAAAACTTGAACTTAATCACAGGGGAACAGATACTACAGTTTTACACGGAATTAAATCCCTTCTAAATTGCCAACTGTTAGCACACCATTATTCCTCCATGCAGCGCCTACGTTAAAACAAAACATTTAAAAGGCTACTTCCCCTGGAAACACAAGAACAGTCCAAGTAAGCAAAAACTTAAAGCAAGAATGCCCTAGAAGTTGATGCAGTCACCATTGCGTTCAGCAAGGTAAATTCTTTAACGTAAACAGTGTATTTAATATAGCCAAAGGATAAAAAAGAAGCCTTTGAAATTCCTAGTTCTTTTATGTTTCTAAAGGCACTTCCCATCCAATATTTGTAAAGGTAAACAAAAATAGCTCAACATCTGCAATATTCCAAGCGTCCTTTTAGGTCTATTAAAATTTTCAAAATGTTTCCCTTGCCTTTTTCTTTGTAATAATCTGATAGGTCATAAGTTTAAAGAAGGGGGCAGGGAGAGAAAGCTTAATCGGTATTTAAGAGTCACTGACTCATCGAATTAAGATTCAAGAGCACTGTTCTGCAGGAGTTGCTCCCACACATTAGTTTCCAAGTGAAATAGCTAGAAAGAAAGCGGAATAGATGTCCAAGGTGTGCTGGGTGCTACGCTAGGCCGAAGACAAGTCAAATGTCTTCAAGGTAAAGGGTAAGAACTACTCCACTTTTATCTGTCCACAGTATTCCGTCTCAGACACACAACTGCTTACAGAACACCCCTGTACTTAACAGAAAACAATTTAGACCTAAAGGATGGACAGGGGTGCTGCCATCAAGTAAAATGGCCCCAAAATCGTTCCTCCAGATGCACCGACTCTCCAGGGTTGCCAGCTTTCCAGCAGCCGGGTCCCCACGGGATCGGATCCGGGGAAATGTCGGGGAAGGGGGGAGCAATCAAGATCAATGAGGCGCTTGCTTACTCGTAGTCAGAAGTCGCCGTCTCCTCGCTCATCTTTCCCTCACCGCGATCCGATCTGGAGATGGAGGAGTAACAGCAGGCGGGGAAGCAGGAGCAACGCCGAGGGGGAGCAGGCAGTGGCGGCCGGGGGGGCGCGGGAGCAGCGGCTCAGGGGCCTCACCATGGTGGACGTCTCACTCGGAACGGTGCCCCCCCAGCCGGGAACCCCAGCCACCCCCACAAGGGGGTGGCGGCAGCGACCTCCGCCGTGGCGACCCCAGCCTGTTCCCCTGCTCAGCGGCCAGCCAAGGGACCCGAGGAGGCCGCCTGCAAAGGAAAAACGGAAACGGTCGGGG